AGGAAGAAATTCCGATAGACCACGGCTTCAAAGCCCGGAAAACATTTCTAAATGTAATCTGACCGGCCGTGAAAGCCTTCATAGTCTAATATAAAAATGCTAAATCACAAATCTTACTTTTCACAAAGCACTTTCAAAAATTTCAGATTCGATAACTTCAATTATATCCTCTTCAGCGGACTTAAGCCATTTTACTGTTTCACTCACAGATTTTTAATAATTTCAAACAATAATAAAATATTTTATTCATAATTTGTATTGGTATGACGCGCAACTTATTAATTAAAAAGCCATTCATTCATTACCACTTTTAAATTATTGCACAAATTTTGTTATGGTAGTAAATATTATAAGTTGATGAGAATTAAAATGAAGCCTCGTAACTTCAATTGTTGGGACGTGCAATATGCCAGATTTTCACAGAGCGTTCAGATGCATTATGACACCCAGATGCTGATTCAAATAGGCGTTATTACTTTTCAGGCATTGAAGATGTAGAGACTCACTTGGAGACTATGAGACAAATATTATATACAGGATGTCTCACTGTCAGCGTCCATTAGAATATTTCGGGAAGTAATGCGATTTGAACCCAGGAACTTTGGATAATTGGAGTTTCGTAGACGCTCTTTTTCAGTTGAAATAACAGCGACATTATGCGACTTTCGGTTATGCCGTAAGTTTTATCAAACTTACTTATTTTAAACGGAATACCCTGTATAACGTTTTTTCGTGTTCCTGTCTTCATTTCCAATAACTTTCGTGAAACATTTTGTAGAGGTCCAGCTCGTAGGACCAAAATGTAGTGATCCGGCCTGAAGGATCAAAATGTAGAAATTCAGCTTGCAGGGTAGGAGCAAATTGTCGCGATCCAGATCAATGGACTGACATGTAGTGATCCCGATCTTTGGACCAAGGTGTAATGATCTTGCTAGGCTAAATGAGTCGGCTTGCAAGACCAGTAAAAGGGGAGGGACTTTCCGCGTTTTGAAGAACCAATGCGATTGTTGAGGGACGAGTGTTTGGTGGGTCCAGATGGACGTAGCTGCAGGAAATAATAAAGCTCGGGCGATCCCAATGTGCCTAACTAGCACTGGTAAAGGCCGTTTATTGTCTAAGCGTGAGTGAATGGGCTGCGCAGTATGGCTGTACACTAACCAAGAATTGTGAGTAGTCGAGCTCAATTGTCATATTACGTAACTTAGGCTGATTTCACAAGGAGACTGAATCTTCGATGTTCACGAGTGTGCGTGTGTGCCTGGTAACCACTTTCGAGTCTGTTGGCGTGATTTTTAGGGACAGTTTTTTCGACTACGATTAGTTTTCGGTTGGGATAACTCACTGTAACTCTTCGATCGTTTGACTCTGTGTCTTGGATTTTTGTGTTGATCGACCTTTCGTGCGACTTTGTTCGACTTGTGTCTATATGACTGTGTGTTCGACTGTGTGTGCGACTCTTCGACCGTTCGAGTCTGTGTCTTGGGTTTGCGTGTGTTGATCGAGCGTTCGACCGTTCGACTCTTGGTTCGGAGTTTGTGTGCATTATAGCGTGAATTCTCTGCCCCATTGGTCTTGTCGACCTGGTGGGGGTGGAATCAAAGGTACAGGGTGAAAGTAATTTCGGGTTTTCCCAAATGGCTGTGTTGCGTTTTGCATCATCACACTTGGCTCATAATGGTAGTTGACACAACGCAGGCCAAGTGTAAAAATTTGACCACATGCCGAGCGAAATGCATTGTTTTCTCAGGGTGTGGAATGTCCCCTCCCTTGAGCTCAACCCAACCCGTCTTTGATTCGAAATTGCCTGTGAAACAATTGCTCGCCATACATTTCACTATGGTCAAATATCTGCTATAACCGGAGATGCGGATTTCTCAGTTTTAGCACTAAAAAAAGGGCGCATTGGTAAATGGCCCGAGATGTCTCAGAACTGACACCCCGTGTCCGAAATTTCCATTGAGACGGTCACAACCCCAACTACTCTTTCGTATTAATACAAATGTTCAAATATTGTTTGAACACGTTTTTTACCCTACTCTATCTGTTTCTGAAGAAAAAATAGTTTTTCTGAAAATTTTACCATTAAGGGTATCGTCTAAAATTTAATATCTTTTCAAAGATGCAATAGTGAAACTCAAAATATCAGGTTCAAAATTAGATATTATTTTGCACGATAATGAATTATCGGCAAAATAAATCTAGATATGGCAAAGTGGAAAACCTTGTGGGGCCTGTGATGGCGTGGCAAACAGGAAATATCCTCAACAACAGAAACGCCAAAAACAAACGCGACTGCCGATTGGAGAAAAAAGCAAGTGCGCTAGTACAACACCACACGGAATTAGGTCACATAATGAACTTGAACGAAGCCAAAGTGTTGGATAATTATAACTATTAAACAACAATCTTCCTGGAAATGATAGAAACATCCATAGAAAATAAATATATCAACAAAAGAACGGACATCGAAGATTTCAGCTCTAATTACGCCAATCTAATAGACAGGTGCAAAAAACAGATAATAAAACAGTACCACGCGTAAATACACAACACAATTTAATGTAATATAATAAATCCAACAAACATAATTGGATAGATTGCTAATACAATCATATTCACACGTCTGTTCCATCCTCTCTTGGTCTATATATACAACTTTTTCTCCTTAACTACTATAACGTAACCAAATAAACGTACTTAAGTAAACTAAACAAATTAAATCCAAAACAAAAAAGAAACAAATTAAATATATACAATAATCAGCCACCAGACACCCAAAGAATTAAAAATTAAACATTTTTCATACAAAAGTAATGCATAAGAAGGTAGAAATTTGGGAGAAATTCCGAACTCATATGCGTAGCGTTGAAATGTCGAAGTCAACTCAATAAGATATACAGGGTTTTCGTTCAGCGTTATTTCTGCAGAAAAACATGTGGATCGTGAATAAATGTTTTGTTTAATTCAAGGCAAATAAATTATGACCAAACAATGTATCTAAAAGATTAAATATTTCATCAATCTGTATAAAAAAAAGATAGAATATTCTGGAGGGTTCCTGACCTTCTTATGGTGAGACAATTAGCAGTAAGTATTTCTCAATTGTAGTTTTTAACTTTTATGCCCTTTTATTGCAAAACATATCTGATTGGAATATGTGTAATGAGTCTTCCAGCCCTGAGGAAGGCGACAATAGATTGCCAAAAGCATATTAGCTAAAATTTTTTTATTTTTCTTTACCACTGCCCGACTTCCCAAGAAAAATCAACGATCCTGCAATTAATAAATATCGACAAAGGGCGACAACAATTCTTAAAACTGCACCATGTCGTAATTTGCCAGTTATAATTATTTGCTAATTTCTTCTTTCACTTTTTAGAAGTAGGGTAAGGAGTAAATTAAATTCCTCTCCTCTTACGACAAGACTTTTTGGATGCTAGCAAGTGAAATTTATAATTAAAAACCTATCATTGTCGCTGTCAGGATTTTCGTTTACCCACAGCTGGATTTTGCAGTTTAATGAGTGTATCGAATCTAACTACATCTAAGCAGGAGAATTACAATACTTGAAGATGTGTTTTTTATACTGAAATCGTAATAAATTTTTCGAAAACAATTTTGCAATTTTAGCCGGCAATGTACCGACTATTACAAAACAGCCCTTCTCTAAAATCTTCTCTTTGTCGAGAAAAATAAAACAATATACAGAATCTGTTCACCCCCACTGGAAAGATAAATTTTGGCTGCAAAACTTCTTGATATCGCGATTGCGAACCATAAAAGAGGTTTCGTCAATTTTTGTCACGCGACGCTGAACAACATTCCTCGAATTTAATAATCCCTTCCGTGACATTTATCCCTCCGACAGTCTAGGTAAGTATCCCAATTTAACATTCAATTTATCTGCTCATTTCCGTTTTTTTTTCTGGAAGGTTCTTTGTCCAAGAGAAAATGAAAATTAATTTCTGGTCACATGCGAATTTTGCATGAACGGGTGGTTTTATTATGTATTTTAGATGTTTTATTAAAGCCACTGCTCGCTGTTTAAGGATCAAATATTTATCCTGTAAACCTTCACCGCTTGATTGTTGGTCACTAAAACTATGTCCGCAATTTGGTCACATTTCATTTTATTTTGCGATGATGCGCCTATGGTTAATTTACGTGAACAGAATAGAAACTTACATGTAGAAGAAAGTGAATTAACAAGAAAACCTTGTCACAATTGTGTGATAGATGTAATAGAGTTTGTAAAAGATTAGCTCACATCAAAATAGTCTAGTTCAGATGACGACTCAGCAGCTGCTATGCGGTCTGCTAAATATTTAGTTCTAAGCTATGTCAACTACTCATGAATCTTTCCGGTAGGTCAGTCACTCTCTTCAGTCTTCTTGTCTGTGCATTTTTCAACAACCTTGTGGCCAACAACATGTGCTTGTAATAGGTGTATCCTTCCAATATGGTCATCTTCATCATCCCAATATTATGAGCGTATACAGGGTGATAAACAAAACTGGCGTTATTCTTCTGGAGATGTTGCTTGAAGGTGTTCTAGGAGTACAGTAAAAACAAAAAAAAAACAATTTTTATTAAAAGCTGCAGAAATGCGAAATATTGCAAAAAACTATATCAGAAAGACGGCAACAATGTATTTAAAGGTAATCTGCCTAATTATCACTAAGTAAATACCTGTTGCTTCATAATTATTGAAAACTCCGGCAACCAATAAAAAATACAGAGTGGCATTAAAATAGACAAGAATAAACAGTAAATGTAACATTATTCGTTGAATGTGGGAGCGTACTTTTTTCAAATGTCAATATTGTCAACGAGAAATTGTTTTTTACTGTCCTCATAACCCCGAATTAATATGTATATAAATAAATATACATAAATATACATTTCAGTATTTATCTCCAAGCCAGTTAGTGTCTGTGTAATCATCTCATTATGCACTCTGCACTCTTGTCGAGCAGCTTCTACTGTTCGGTTAATTAACTCCTGCACCGTTTTTACGGGTGTTCAGTAAGCCAATGGTTTAATATATCCTTGTGCTCTGTGTATCTTAGATACGTCTTAGGAATACGTGTCACACGTATTTGTTTGGTACCTGCGAAAGTATCGGTAGCTGTGTCGTGCTCGAAGTACCCCTGGAAGCCTCTGCTGCAACTATCTCCAAAACTTGTTCCTCTGTGTCTACTATCCTCCTGGAGCCAATGTTCCAGTGCCTCTAGCCATTTATTGATGTGAGTTCTTAGATCTTCTGCTTTGTGTCTGTGGCATTTCGTCAGAACTAACCGCATATCCGCAAACTCGGGAAAGGAGCTTCAAAGTAAGTCAGCATTTGACACTTTATTGTTATTATTGGCAAAGGCTATCTACCTGTAACTATCTTTTAATGACATAAAACATCATTGCCGCTTCGACTTTTCATCAAAAAATGGTAGAAGCGAACTTTTTAAAATCAAAAATATTCGTAATTTGTCCTCGATTTGCTCTCCGAATGCTAAACTATTCGAATATGCTACCAATTAAACATGGGACAATATCAAAATAATGCTTAATAACAAAGTTGAAAATCGATTGTTAACTGTTAATATCTCCTAAAAATTATCGATAAGAAAAATGTCAATATTTTTCTATATAACAATAAAGAGAATCTCCCCGAAGAGAAGTGACCCCCTATCACCCCTTAAAAGGAATGACGTCAATTTTGCTCTATACCTTCATTTAAATGTTCGTTTCACCAGCAAAGCCACCTATTTCTGAATGAACTAAATATGGCAAAACCTTGTTAGCTCCTCAATTTATGACGCACAAAATACTGGCTAGGGCCAAAATGCTCGCTCCTTGCCTTAGCACAGTCATTTTAGACGGTTTTTATAACCGTTTTATGGCTCCCATTCTGCGCTGTAAGGGATTGATGCTCATAAGCCTGCAAATACGTCTCAAAGCCTTACAATTATAAAATTTTGTGACTAACTAGATACGCAGAGATGAAGGATTTTAATGGCTCCTCATGTTATTTCTGATTGGAATAAGCTATTGGTTACGAAAAGGTGAAGTGGTTTCAGTTCCACTATCTAATGTTTAGTTAAAAGCCAAAATAAAAGGTCTTAATATAACCGTTTTCATAATAATTTCGTTTTTATTTTACAGGGTGGTCCTCAACTAATGTCCAAAAATTCACTGACATATTGCTTAGGCCAAAATATTGCGTTTCAGGCAAATTTGTCTTACCCGAAAGTTAATAGATTCCGAGGTACAGAATGTCAAAGTTTAAATAGAAATTTCGTTTCTTCTGAATACATGTTTAACCGGTTTTACTAGTACCACAAAAATTTGTGTTTAGGGGTTTTTAGATCGGCAAATTCAAATTCCTTATTGGTTGGCTTGTAGTTTATAGAGGGCGCTAGCTGCAATGGTCTGGAGCCATTTAAGACATCAGAACTTTTTTGGGCTTTTCGAAAATCGTCATACGGTTGGTCAAATCACATTTTACTATATTTTTTAAACAAAAAATGTGCACTTGTTCGAAGTAGATATCTCTCACCATTTTAGATATTTGTACATGTATTGAAGTCAGAGGAGATCATTTTGAACATTTATTATGAAATAATAATTTTCAAAGATTTTACTGGGTTTAAAAAGTACTTCAATATAGATAGATATCCAATTAGTTCAAAAAAATGACTTGATGTTTTAATGTGAAAAATCTCGAAAACGGTCAGAGATATCGACTTCGAACAATACACATGTTTTGTTTACAAAATATCGTAGAACGTAATGTTATCAACTGTAAATAAAAAAAATGTATATATATCAAAAACAAAAACACAATGTTTCTCAGTTTTACGAGAAATAATAATTTGAATTAAATTACCGAAGCCATGGCAGAAGTATCTACTTTAGAATTCTTGCATATTTGCATATGTGTCCCTATTATTCATCCGAACTACCCGAGCGAAGGAAAACATGCCGTTCAAAGTGGATTATTGTGTTCTGTTTGTAGCGTTTGAGTAACTATTTATTAATACCAATATTGTGTTCCCATATTAGCTAAATTCTCAAGACTCGCCATAACAATCAATAATAAAACAATACAACGTTAATAGAGATAAGCCGGAATGTGCTTAACTTCAGTCCTTCATTAGCCAGTCAGTTTCCATTGTTCGCAAATATTAACAAGATTTTATCTTCCGAAAAAGTTTTTGAGAAATTTTGTAGCAACTTATGGGACCATAGGTTCTTTCACCATTACTTGTTATATAGATTTCTTTGCAAAAGCCCAAATAGCTAAACCAACAAAATGAGAGGTTTGCATTTGAAACGAGAAACTTATGTTCCGTTTTTTATACTCCCTGTATAGCGGGACCCCTAGATATAGTTTACTTGGTTACGTCATGATTCATTATGAGCGCCAACAAAATCTATACGTTACTTAGCCTGTATACTCTGGTGGTGTAGTAAAATTTGTTATTCGATGATACTGTGTAAGAATTCAATAGGCATAATATTAATTTAACTCAATTAAAAATAAACAATTCTATTTCAATCGACTAATAACTTAGAAAGTCACTATTCAAATAATTAGTTCAGATCATTCCGTCGTAAATCCTAACTTAGAGCTGTTTTAAAATAGGTTCAATGATAGATGAAGTTTCCTGAAAACATTTTATTTCACCGTTGTAAATTAATCGTCCTAGCCTTGAACATCCATATTTTAATAATCAAAATTATAAATAATAATATCAGTTATTACTGAGTGAAATAGAACAAAAATACACCTACAAATCGGCAAAACAGGTTCATGCCAATTCATAAAATTGTAATAAATATGAAGGAGAATGTAGACTATCTGAAAATAAAACCACCAAAAGTCTGAAACGTCGACGAATAATATTTCCAACCCTGAAAAGTGCTGTTTTTTAAATTATTGAAGTATTCATAACACGTATCTGCGTCTAATATGAAAAGAAACTAAGGAAACATGCGCAAGTGTTCGCTGAACGCCTATTCAGTTAATTTCACAAATTTATTTTAACTGCTTCTCAAAATGAGACATCTCTTCTGAAGGGAATATCTGTAGACGTTGCTCATAAAATACTGAGACCTGGAAATTAAAGTACCTACCGGATTTAATTTTCGTTACGTAGCGTAATAAGTTGTTAATTAAATGTACGAAATTCTCTTAAGGAAAACTGTTTTATTGCAGGCCGGTGCTTTAATTATACGTAACATAGCTTTCGTGTCTGCAATATGTTCATGGTTGAAATTAAGTGTAAACTCGTCCACAGTATACTGATAACATTCTACATTCAACTGATTTGACCAAAACGGAATATAAAAGTAAAAATAGCTTTAGAGAGGACATAAATTTCAAGAAGCTGGTGCGTTTAAGCACCATTGCATTGTTTGCACGTTGAATATTTAAAGCGCACTTTAGATAAAGCTTTGCAGTCACCGCAAAAGCAAAATAGTAATGCAACAAAGTACGCATATCGCAACGGCGAATTAAAAACTTTCACAAAATTACCGTTTTATAATCGTATAATCCGATCCCAACTTCCAGGAGAAGTATTTATCTTAAAAGCTGATGCCAAAGCTGGCAGTTTTTAGCAGGTGAGATTTTTATACAGCTGAAAGGTTAGTTTAGTACACATCCAAACTTTATTTTAATTTTTCACATCTCTTGGAAAATACTCGTCATGGTAGCGGAGTTTGTTTTTTTATGTTTTTCATTTTATTTCAAATATTTCTTGATTTTAAGTTCATTATTAATCCATTTATTTGCTGCAAAGTTTTTTCCAAACAATTTTACTTTTCATTAACCACCAGATTTTTTTCTTTGCCTTTGTAAGCCAGATGATGTTTATTACAATTAAAAACTAACAGGTGGAAAATGCTGTTGAGGTCCCAACTGTAAGAAAAATTAAATTTTAGACATGAAAACATTGCAAATTGTGAGAGGGGATGCAGTTTAGGGGTTAAAATCGTTTTATTGCGATTTGCGCTGAATCGTGACCTCGTAGGGGGAAACGTTTAATGCAGAGTTGCAGAATGAAAGTATCTAAAACTTTTGTTTTTAACACTTTTTGACATAACTTCAAATTAACTGTCAAAAAGGCAAAAAACCTATTTTTTTTAATCTAAAATTTTTCTCGGGCACAAATGATTTAGTTTACACGAAAATTTTTAAAAGTATGTTATTTCTGGTATTTATTAAGCGCGGTTCTTTCGCAGTTCAGGAGACGACTAGTTATTGAATAATATACATTTTCTAAAAAAAGACCCTTATATTCCACGAACAATTGTCGTCAATATTAAAGAACCGTTTTCAACCCCTAAACTACATCTTCATTGCACCATGTCCAGTGTTTTAGTGTTTAAATTTTATTTTTTCTTACAGTTGAAACCTCAACAATTTCCACCTGGGCTTTGCCCCTTTTCCTTATTTTTTAAAGTTATTTGCACTAGCCTATATATGACGGTTGGGGTAGAATAATTATTGGGAGCTCTAACACCAATTCTGTTCCAGATCTCCTAGAAAGTATTTTATGCTTTTATTATTTATGAATTGCTCTTGAAAACCTGGAATAACTAATTGTTTTTGAAGATTGTGCAGGAATTTTCAACGATTATGTGTTGGCTTAGTATCTAATTGCTTGGTTTCAGATGCTACATCTAGGAAATTGGAAAACATTACAAGTGGACAACGAAGATTCTTTTTTACACTGTAATACGTGACCAGTTTGTCAATATTATCTATACCTCCTTTAGTTGAGTTGTAATACAAGCACACGATGTCTCGGTTCGCAT